CAACCAATCGCCGAATCCCAAGGCCTCCTTCGTCTTTGGGTAAGCAGACAGTAGACCATGCTACCTTGGCTCCCCCAGTGCCCAGGTCAGGGCCTTTCCATAGGAATTGTCTCAAGATGGTCTCAATTTTGTGCAAGACAGCTTTTGGGAGGGAGAAAATACTAGCCCAATACACTTGGATGGAGTGCAGTACAGATTTGATGAGCTGCAGCCTTCCCGCAAAGGATAGGAAACGTTGTGTCCAAGAACGTGCCCGTGCTGTTATGGAATCAACTAATATCTTGCAGTCTTCTTTCCGCATTCTAGACGAGATGATGGGCACCCCTAAATATCGAAAGGGGAGTGTGCCTTGCTGAAAGCCAAGGCATTGTAGTAGTTGGGCTTGCAGTGCCGAAGATCCTCCCGAGAGGAATAAGTTGCTTTTATTACTGTTCGGGTTAAGGCCAGACCAACTGGCGAACAAAACAAGGGATTCCTTGATTATTTCGACCGACCTGAGATGAGCTTCAGAGAATAGGAGAACGTCATCTGCAAAGAAGAGGTGAGAAATGAGTGGCTTTTTGCAGCGCCAGAACCAGTGAAAGTCCGGAACATTCGTTCTCCTCTCAAGAATTCCAGATAAGACTTCCATAGTCAGAATGAAGAGGTATGGCGAAAGTGGATCGCCTTGTCGAATACCTCGGCTGCTGGCAAAGAAACCATGTAATTCCCCATTGATTGAAATGGAGAATTTAGCAGTAGTGATACACGCCATTATCATCTTGATGAACTGGTCAGGAAAGTTAAAGGCCTTGAGTGTCGCTTCAATGAATCTCCAATCAACTGTATCAAAGGCCTTTTGGAAATCTACTTTAATGGCGCATTTGGGGGTGTAAGCCTCATGATGGAAGTCCGCAAAGAGCTCCTGGGCAATCATGATATTATCACTAATTCTGCGTCCTTTAACGAAAGCCGTTTGGAACGGACTAATCAGTGATGGTAGGACGTGCGCAATCCGTCTAGCCAAGATTTTTGAAATGCATTTATAAAGTGTGTTACAACATGCAATGGGGCGAAAGTCCGTCATGGCGGATGCATTAGGAGTCTTTGGCACTAGGGTTAAAATGGTGGTATTTATCTCTTTAAGCAACTGGCCAGACTCAAAGAATTCATTAACCGCCCTGAGAATGGAAGGACCAATAATTTCCCAGGAGGTTTTGAAGAATTCAACATTGTAGCCGTCCGGCCCAGGCGCTTTGCCTTTGGCCAAAGAAAAGAGAGTAGCTTGAATTTGAATTTCTATCCTTCTGTGCTGAAAAAAAGAAGAAAAACATTACCGTGTAATCAACACCGAGTGATTGCACAAAATCATAGTCCCAAACGCTTGGTTTCCAATTCGCCGAACGTCTCGCAATCTCTTGATCTTCAATCTTCAAACTGCATGTCGCGAATCGAGGGCCGGAGGACGCAGCGGAGGAGGAAGAGGAGGAGGGTTGGCTATGGTGAATTGAGGAGGGAAGGAAGCTTGCGACCAAAGAAGGAAGAGCCATTGCGAAATCTGTTGCCAGACTCTGAGTGTGCTAACCATCCATTATATAGGTGTGCTGCGGTGCATCCATAATGAAAAAAGTTTGTAGCTGCTTTGGGTGCAAAGTTTTCTACTTACTCGGGCCATCCTCTAAGCATTGCACTTTATTGTTTCTACATGCACAGAGTCATACTGACCCTGTTAGTACGACCCCCTCATGGCCGAGAAAATATTGGGTGCCACTAGGGATTCCACCGTGGAGAAATAACAACTCTGGCGTGGCGACACGTGTCCGAGAGGACCCACATGTCAGGAAGGCTCTCCCACGGCACTGAGCTGAGCTGAAGCTGGGAGAAAAAATTTTAAAAAACAGCCCTCTCTCTCCACACTCCCTCTCTCTCTTTCGCGCTCCCCATCTGCTCTCCGCTCTGCGCTCCGTCTCCCTCACCCGCTTAGGCACCCCATCCACGAACGACGCTTCGCTCCCATCCCATCCTACGCTTCTTGCTGGCCACTCGCCGCGCTTCCTTCGCCGCTCGTCGCTCGCCGCCTTGGCCGCTTGCCGCGCTTCACCGCCGCTCGCCGCGCCTCGCCGCCCGTCGCTCGCCGTGCCTCGCCGCCCGTCGCTCGCCGCCCCGGCCACTCGCCGCCCTTCACCGCTCGTCGCTCGCTGCTCGTCACGCTTCGCTTCGTCCCCCTTATCCTCATCTTCACCACAGGGAGGAAGAACTTACTTCAAGCGCTAGGGTTTAGGCATGTTCACGAAGGTAATGTATTCGTTCGGATTTTCATGATTTTTCTTGGGGGTTTTTGTGTTTGTGTCTGCTCGTTGCCCTGCCACCATAAGTTTTATGATAGTTTCTGAAAATAGCTGAGAGGGTTGATTGTGGTAGAACAGAGGGTGGTTCATGGCTGCATCTTGAGTACTGCATCTTGTGGGTTTTTCGTTGACGTGGTATGAGCTATACACATGTTACGCGACTTAAGCCAGATTCAGGGGAAGCTCAATTGATTGACCCATCTGCCTGTGACTTCATGTGTGATTAGATGCTATGCTTATTTGGTGCATCTTCTTGTCTGCATACTATGTTTCATCCTATCCAGTGCTGGGTTATCAGTCTAATGTCTTTTCTAAGACTAGATGAATTCGGTCACTGCACGGAGAAGATTTTAGGATTGACCTTTTCACAATATGTTCTGTCTAGAAGAAAATAAACTGGTGAAATCTACCTTATGCTGTATTACTATTATCAGGAGTATGCTCGTTTGACGTATGAGGAACTTAAAATTCTCACGTTAGCATCTCGTCTGATATAATCACCTGTCATTTATGTGACCATACTGCTTAATGTTATAAAAAAGATCTACTAGTAAAGGAAAATGTTCAATGCTTTAGTTGGACAATACTGCTGCAAAACTTTGCTGAATTTAGAGGAGTTGGTTCTTCAATAGTTGAGGAATTGTACATTTTAATGATAGCACCTGATGTGAGATAATTGCCATACAAATATGCAAGCAAACACTGCCAAATTTCGGTTGTCAAAGAGAGTTGCAAAGAAAATCAAGTTTTGCTATTTTAGACTCTTTTGTTCAAGGGTATTGCTGTTAGACTGTGCTGGCTTTGGCTCTTTCGTGTATTACAATTTCCAAATAAATTCGCATCCATTTTTTCAGGACCACTGGAAAGAGCCACACATGTATAGGATTGTTTGATTTTTAATTATTCCAAGAATGACATGCTTCCATAATTAAGGTATTGTGTAAGAAAGGAAGTTGTCAAGAAAGTAAGTGCTTAGCAAATTTTGTATTGTCATTAAGTTCATCAAGTCCTCACAACATGGAAATAGAATACACATCCTGTTCGTTTGGTTACTGGACGATCTAATGCTTGTCAAAAATATGCGTAAGAAGCGAAAGTGCGTAAGAAGCATTATCCTTCTTCCAATGGGATAAACAATTGTGGATCAAAAAGAGTAAATTAGAAGACAGAGCACGCAGCGAGTATGCAGGGGGGTCTCCTTCATAATTGAATGATTCTCTTGAAGTCTCTATACTCACTTTATAAATGACCTAGCAAATTAAGGTTTTGCGCTGTAGTTAATGAAAATTTTGTATTTATTTGGCATGGCGCTTGAACTAATAATTACAAGGAGATTGAAAATCTGACTTATTTAATTATGTTTGTTGGGATACAGGGCGGACAGTTGGCTGCTATAAATCTTGTATCTCGTGCGGCCTTGCTTGCTGCAAAGAAGGTGATGACATTTGAATTTGCAGACACACTGGAAAGTTATCATAGTGCAACAACGCATGGTCATTTACTCCATAGATATTTTATCAAATGCGAACTCATGATTATGTTTTTGCGTGATTGGTTTTGGCAAATACTAGCAAGGCACGTAGCAATAGAAATTTTACTTTCGGCTGGTAAAAGAGAATTTATGTATAGGTTGTTAACTGTGCTTGTAGTACTGCATCGACTATTTGGAAAGAGTTGGTTTCTTCCACTGACCATAAATCATCGAAGGTTATGCGTGTAAACAAGAGCTCACCAAGGAGGTATTACTCGATGTAATTCACATCGTGTTCTGAGAGTGAGCTTGCTTTTGTTACTATCTGGGTCTTTGTTAAAAGTAAAATAAGGAAGGAAGTTTTCTTTTTTCGGGGTCTAGTACAGAAGATGAGCTACATTATGTTTAGTGGTGTGAGTGTGTTGAGGTTGTTCTATTCTGTGTTTGCCTCAGGACTCTGAAGAAGAATGGTTTTTCCGGGTTATGCTCTTGTTGGGTTCCTTTGCCTGACGTAGAGTTGAAGTGTATTGCTTGGTGGGTGTTTGTTTACCCGCGATTTGAGGTTGAGCTTGGATTTACAAATTACAAAATAGGTGGATTTGAGGTTGAGCTCCGATTTGCCTAGGCGTTGACTCCCACTTAGCCGACACTAACGCCGCCTCCGACGAGCAAGGTCCTCCGCTGCCCACGAGCAACGTCCGTCACCTCCCACGAGCGAGGTATATTTTAGATCGTGATGTCTTTTTTCCTCATGTATATTTTCATTCACGACATTTAGTTGACATGAGTGTGCTTGTCAAAGGGCTTCTCAGTAGTACAGGTTGGGATGAGCTTGTTTATGTTTGGCAACATGGGACTGATCCTAGAGCTCCTTCAATTAGTATAAAAATTTCATTTTTTGGGGTCCCCTCATTGAGCTGTGTCAACTTGGGATCAGGATTCTGAATGGCCAAATTTGAAAGTGTAATTGTCGTTCTGCGGTTTATCTTGGTAAATGACTCGCAAATAATTAGACTGTAAGTTAGATTCAATAAAGCACGGAAAATTTCTATTTGCATTATCAGAATGGTGAGTTTGCACTTGTTATGTTCACCTTGTATGGTATAGCATTAGTGATGGTTCTCCTATGTTTGTTTATTGCTGTGATTGTTTAAACTGAGCTTTCTAGTCTTATTATAAGGATCTAGTTGCTGTTTCTGTTGCTGTAGTGAAATTTGTGTCTCGATTATGAATTTTCCGTGTTGCTCGGTTTGATCAGGGAAAGACCATGTAGTTGCCTCTTCTTTGTCATGCAAGGATGAGGTTGACTTTCAATATTATAGTTCCTTTGTTTGGTTAGTGCAGCATTCTTTGATACTTCTCACTTTATGGTCACTCTTTCCAACCTGTAAATCACCTGTTCCGAGCGTGGGAGTTCCAACTTCTTTGACAAAATAGTTCTGGTGCTTGTCTCAAAACATTGTTTCTTTGTTAATTGTGTTTTCTGAGCATTTGAAATGATTTGAAAGTGTCATTTTAATGCCTCTCTCTGAGGTGCATATTATCCCATCAAATAAAAGAAGTATTTTTGTTAGTGTGTGAAAGATCGTGAGTTAGTATAGAGTAGATGTCTCGACATTCCTGTCAATAAGTCGGCATGGACTGAGCCGCCGATAACTAGTACTTATTTATACTTTCTTGGTGCCGAATGGATCAATATTTGCCCCTTAGCTTGCTGCTCGCCTTGTGTTTGAAAAAATGCCTAAGCCAAATCTGTTGAGTGTTTGAGGTTTTGACGTTGCTAGATCGAATGGACCGAATGAATAGGGTAGTGCTAGCGTAACTCGATACATCACAATGAATGACGTGCTGTACTTTATCTGGTGGCTTCCGAATGAATGGTGTGTTGCGGCTAGAATTTGTTGTTGTGGGGGGGGGGGGGGTCAGATGTTCATTAAAATTCCCCAGAGAAAATTGAGTTGAATGTCTCACCGGATAATCATCTTTTGTGAATGTGTACTAGAGATGACGACAGTATATTAGAGATGATGTGGAGAGGACCTTGAACGAGTGGACTAATTCTGTACCTGCACTGGTGTTGCATAGGGTCCTGCTTCATTCATGGTTGAACATAATTTGTGAGAGTGCTTTTCCTGCTTTATAATGGTGTGTGATGACGTACTGCTAGTTTGGTGCATCAACTAGACTCTATATCTAATTGTGAATCGCATTGAAACAAATTTTTTTTCCATTTGAGCAGTTCATGGTAGTTTTGTCCGGAGAATTCTGTGGTCTCCTAATGAAAATGCGCCCTCACTTGAGTGCGTATGCTTGAAAAATTCCTTGTTTTACTTGGTTATCCATCAAAACACTTGGGTAAGAATAGTCCTCCTTACTTTTTTGGAATATGACTTCCACTTTTTAAATTAGGAAGTTGTTTTCCTTAGTTTTGAACTTGGCAGTATCGCATGAATTGTCACTCGCTGTTCAGTGTTTGAGCTCCTTAGAATGAATGGTAGTGCATCACATTTCAGCCCCTTGCATTAAATCGATGTCACCCTTCATGCTCATTTTATCATGATGGCAATTTTTTCGGATACTGTCATCTCTAACTTTACATATACGGTAGTGGCTTGCTCATGTACATAAATTTTCCATGGATGACAACCTCCATTTGAAAAAAAAAAAAAAAGCCCAGCTGTGTTGCATATATGTATCGTGCGTGCGTAGTTTCTACATTATAGTTTTGGATGTCTTTTCTGATAATGAACTCCACATTCTAGTTTTCTGAGCATATACATGAGTATGGACATCCGTAACAATTGATATACATCTATTTCTCGTCAAGTAGGGTCATTACTGAACTTAAACCTGCTGGAATTATCTTTCAAGCTTGCTGGTTGGGACTGTTTTAGTGTCATTTTAATCCCAATTTGGTATCAATTTGGGTGCAAATTTATCGGATGGCTGAATCAGAGGTAATTATTTGCTCATACTATGTGAAATATATTTTTCTTAAACCACCGCGTTGATAACTTTTTGTTCTTTTAGTTGCAGCATGAAACTTCCCATCTTGCACACGTAATGCGTGATATGGAAAAAGATTATGAGTTTGCGGTAGGAATGGTTTTTCCAAATGAACTTGAAGCATACGATAAGTATGTGGCCTATGCAATCGGCAAAGGATTTGGGGTGAGAAAGGGTAATATGTTCAAAAATGGTAAAGGAGAATTAACCCGACGAACTTTTGTGTGCCATTGTGAGGGGCATTCTGTCAGCTCATCTGATCAAGAAAAGAAATTTGAGAGGTATGAAGTTAGATATGGCTGTCCTGCTCGTATCGAATTTAAGGTTAACAATGGTGTCTATGAAGTCATGAAGCATATTTCTGAGCATAATCATGCATTTATTCCGGATGATCAAAAGCATTTGATTAGATGTGGAAGAATCATGTCTGATACTTCTAAGAGTGTCTTAGTTGACATGAGGAAAGCCGGCATTGGAGGGACTACAGCGTATAAGTTTTTAGCAAATGAAGCTGGAGGAAGCAAAAACTTGGGTTTTAACCTGCGTGATTGTCAAAATTATTTGCAAACGAAAAGATCCGATGGTATAAGTGGGGGAGATGGTCAAAGTGTTCTAAATCATTTTCATCTCATGCAAATGCAAAATCCAATGTTTTCATATGATGTATAGGTAGATCAAGATGGTAGATTGGCAAATTTATTTTGGAGAGATAGCATGTTGAAATTTGATTATGATTGCTTGGTGATGTTCTAGTGTTTGATACCATGTATCGTACCAACAAATATAACATGATATGTGCACCATTTATTGGGATTAATCACCATTGGAAGAATGTTTTTGTTCGGTTGTGCATTTTTGTTGGACGAGACTGCAGAATCATTTATATGGTTATTTGAGGCTTTTTTGAAGTCTATGGGAAATAAGGCACCGAAAACCATATTCACTGATCAAGACCAAGCCATGGCAAAAGCCATTAGAACGGTATTTCTGAATACACAACACCGTTTATGTACTTGGCACATCGGGAAAAATGCCAACCAAAACATCCCACATCTTTACCATAAGCCGGGTTTTAAGGATACATATTTCTTAGCGCTTATGTATAGATGTACATCGGAGGAAGAATTTGAATTTACTTGGAGGGAAATGGAAAAGGAGTGGGATACTGCGAATAACACTTGGCTTCGGAGATTATACGACATTAGACACAAATGGGGTTTAGCTTTTGGTCGTGACATTTTTACATGTATAAGATCTAGTCAATGGAGGGAGAGCACCAATAATGTCTTCCAACGAATGTCGACGAAGACATTGACTCTTGTAGAGTTTGTCCACCACTATGAAGAACAAGTGAAGCACATGAGAAATTGAAACTCAAGATGATTTCAGTAGTCGAGGGAATCCCAAATTGGCAATTTTGGGTAATGACATCTTGACGCATGCTTCATGTCACACCCCGAACCCCACGATGCGCAACATCCCTCGCAAAGGTCGAATTTGCTGCGACGTCCCAGGCCGCGTCGCCGACCCAACTCCCAACACAGAGCATAAGGCACATGCGGAAGCGATAATTAAAACACCCGTACAAAGCAATACATGACCAAGGGTAGCAGGAACGTCGAACAATTCAAAGCCTAATAATCAAGACTTGCATTGAACTTCAAAACATATACAATGTCCACTATACACCAATACAAGTCGCCAAACAAAAGCGGGTCGACGGCTACTACTAACAAAATCCCTAAGTGGCTAAGGGGGCAGTCTAAGGTGGGGCTATAATCAAAAGGGGTTACTGGCCCGACCTAAGGGAGGCTAAGGCTGATCCTAGGAAACTTAATCTGGATCAGATCCTGATAACTCGGACTCAGCCTCGATTATTTCATCCTCTGAATCCATCTGCTCGACCTCGCCAACCTGTTCGGGTTCCTGCTTTATGGGCTCCGGATTCTCATATGGATCAGGTACACCAGGCAACCTCTATCAGGAGTTTGAAAAACGGGGTTTAAACAACTATGAGACGAATCTCAGTGAATAGGCCTCCTAAATCGAAATTAGGTTAACATGCACCTCCCGACAAGCAAATCAACACAACAACGGACAATAATGTCAATCAAATGACCTAGGCTCTTGAGTCCGGTTCGCTTACCTTGCTGACCCTGCAGGTTAAACAGTTCGACATAAAAATCACGGCACATACGTGGCACACATTTTCACACGTACGCCATACGCATGCTCATACTCGAAGTGTTCATCTCGCATGCCATTCACCGAGTCTTGCACACTCGCACACTGGCCCATGCATTCTTATGCATGCAAATGTCATCATCATGCCATGTTTCGTTCTGGCTCACACTGCATACTGGCATACAGCTCATTTTTAATTAGAAATCGACCCGAAGGTCACGGCCCGAAGGCTCACAACACTCCACGGCCAGCGTAAAAACACCCCAGGCCCAGTGTCTCTAGCCTGCTACAAAGTGCATGAGGCGCAATACCGATCTCCTTACGAACCAGAGCCTGCTACAAAGTGCATGAGGTTGGTCGTCTTTCGGACATACCGGGCATCGTCCTGCTACAAAGTGCATGAGGACGGCACGACCCGAAGGCCAATAAGTGATAACATGGCACACTGTCAATTTTTATCTGAACCCCGCGTAAAACGCATCAGGGTATAATTAGGTGATCACATGCTCATGGCAGACACGCATTCTCGCACAATTTCGTCACATGCCTCACACTAGGCATACACAATGCGTGGCCATGCAATGTCGTATAATGCAATATGAGCATTCAATTTCAGCACGGCATTTCAACAAACATGCCAAATCAACGTGCTCAAATAGCCAATCAATTGCCCATACTTATTCGCATAACATGCGCACTTGGCCAACTAGTACCATGTGGCCCAAAACATAATTTACGCACTTGGGCAATAAACATTCACACCAATGATTGGCCAAACACACACCGCATTGCCCGAACACGAAATCAGGCGGCATGGCATTAAACAACTGAGCACGACAAAGTACCATTCAACCACCGAGTCGCTCAAACGAGGCACCACAAAATTTAACACAATCAAGCACAATTTGTACCCAAATCAACCACTAATCAGTCCGAGAGAGAGAAAAACTGGAAATATGCAAAATCGGGTCCAAACTGGGCAGTTGCACAGTGACAGAAATCCATTTGAAATAAATGGTAAATCAATTCTAAAAATTATGAAATTTGGATATGTTGTACAAAACATCTCGATGAACATTTTCCGTGGAGAACTAGAAACCCAGTTCTAACCGTAAACACCTCGTTTTGACACTCCAAGTCGGACAAAATCCGATTCGCTCGGACAGCCCGTCAGGCCAGAAAAATACAACTCATTCAGTACCCAAATCATTTTGGAAAGCCTTGAAATTTTTATATGTTATAACCACAAATGTCCCCAATAATTTTTGAGAAGGAAGTATTTTGAAAATAGGCCTGGAAAAATTTATAAAAAATTCGAACAGACCAGAAGGTCGGGTGAACAGTAAATCGGGCAGTTTTGTTTCGGTCCAAAGATGGACTTCCGAATGGCCTCAAATGATTTCCAAAAATTCCCAAATTAAATTATGTTATACTTAAAGATGTTGGAAACAACTTTCATGAAAAACACTTCTTCACATTCGGCCCACAATGATCACAATAAAAATAACAAAGCGCAGAGGTACAGTAAAATTAGTAATCCGAGAATCAGTAACTTGCACCATTAAGCAAATCCAACTCATACAACCTCTAAATCAAGTCTCCACAGCCTTAAAACCATCCTTAAAACATCACCTTATGCCCTTAAAATCACCACAACATCAGCCCAAATCAGCCCCCACCAATTACCCCTAAAACTTGTCCAAAGTGCACATAATCCTAATTAAGGGTTAGGATTTCCACTCACCTATTTACACTCCCCAAAATTCTAATCGACGGGAACGGGCGGCCGATTGCCGGTAAACGGCGAAATCGGCGGCGGCGTTCCGGCGGCTCACGGTAGAGGTTCTGGTCAGTGAGGGTGGTGGCGGCGAACGGCGCTCCTCTCGCGCGCGACGGCACTCCGACGAGCGGCTCCTCTGGCGGGGGCCTCTCACGGCCAAACCAAGAGGAAAATGAAAGAGAAGAAGTGGCGTGGGAGGGGAGATGATCGGCTGATGGGGGAAGAAATGGGAGGAGAGAGAGAGTCAAAGGGGTCTTATGGGTCAAAAAGTGGCGCCACGTGTCGCAATCCGGTGCGTTGGACCATTTTGCCATTTGATCCAATGGCCATTAATCACTCTCATCCAATAATTGAGGGCCCTTTTGGTCATTCAAAAATTCTGAATTTTTGACTCATAATTATCCACAAGAAATTCCCAAAAATTGCCAAAATTCGGAACCCAAAAATGGGCCATAAGGGCAAAACGGTAATTTTCCGGTCCCGGGTCGAAATTTCATTTTTCGACCGTATCGACCCCAAATGTGTGTGGCCAACATAATATGATGTCGGATTCGCAAAAATAACCTTTTAAGCCCTCGAAAATCGATTGCAAAGTTTGGAGGGGCAAAATAGTAATTTTTTCACTTCTGGGCCGAAATTTCAATTTTCGACCGTAACTACTCTAGATATGCGTGGCCACCCTAAAACGGCATCGGTCTCGAAAAATAATCTCATATGGCCTCGAAAATCGACGTCGGAGTCCAAGGGTAAAATCGTAATTTTTCTAATTTCGGCCGAAATTCCAATTTTCAGCTGGACTAGCCCCAAATGTATGTGGCCACACCAAAACGATGTTGGCCTTGCAAAATAGTCGTAAACACCCATAGAATTTCGACATCGAAGTTCGGGTCCAATTTGGCGATCAAAATTGCTCAATTCATAATTTTAGAGTCTCTTACTGACGGGTGGCTATTTAGGGGTTACGCGTATCGACCTAGGGTCACTCGAGTTGTGACGATCTCGATTGCCGGGATAGCGCAAGGAATTATTGATTATTCCAGGGGTCACGATCGTTCGGTTCAGGTTCGGGATTTATTTGCCATGCGCACTCTCGGTCCAGCGGAATCACCCGTGATCCGATCGTACGTCGTTGGCCAAACCAGATCCGTCACCTTCCTAGAATCGGTCCACACTGGCCCAAAATACTTCCCTGTTGTTTCTCGGAATCGGCGCCCGATTCGCGATCGGGTCCCCGATCCACTTACTGTTTTCCTAGTTAGCCTTTCCCATTGGTCAGTATCCCGCGAGGGGCCAGCTTCGGGCGAGACGTACTAAAATCAAATGAGAAATAATATCCACTTCGTCGGATCCCGGAAATAGGTCGAAATTCAGGATGTTACACTTCAAAAGTGTATACCCGTACCATTTTTAAACAGTTTAATGATGAATTCATGCAAAGTGTCTCTCAACGTATTTCAAGTGAAGCATTTGATGGATCGGTTTATATTTTTACTGTCAAGTTAAATGGGAAGTTAAATGGGAGTGGAAATGTTGTCAAATTTGACCCTGCAGACTCTTCAGTTTCTTGTGATTGCAAATTATTTGAATTAAAAGGGTGGTTGTGTTGCCATGCGTTGAAAGTGTTGAGTGAGAAATAATCGGTTATGGGTGTTCCATCTCCCCATATTTTGAAAAGATGGACTAAAGGTGCCAAACAAGTGATTGT